ACCAGCTGGCGCAGAGGCTGGGCGCCGAGTGGGACAACTGGGGCTGTCGCAGACAGACGTCTACCGCTGCAAGGCCAACCACCCCTACAACGTGCAGTCGCAGGTGGTGAAGGCCTTCGTGCGCTGGCGGCAGCGCTATGGGAAGCAGGCCACTTTCCTGAGCCTGCACAGGGGCCTGCAGGCAGTGGAGGCAGACCCGGGTGTGCTGCAGCACATGCTGGAGTGACCAGCCGTCCCTGGGTGGGTCCCTCACACCTCCGACTGGCCCCGGTGTGGGGAGGAGTGTGTGTGTGGGTCCTTTCTTTTCAGTGACCCCTAGATGGCAAGAGAAAAGGGCTTCTATTGCGCTGGCGGCAGCGCTATGGGAAGCAGGCCACTTTCCTGAGCCTGCACAGGGGCCTGCAGGCAGTGGAGGCAGACCCCGGGGTGCTGCAGCACATGCTGGAGTGACCAGCCGTCCCTGGGTGGGTCCCTCACACCTCCGACTGGCCCCGGTGTGGGGAGGAGTGTGTGTGTGGGTCCTTTCTTTTCAGTGACCCCTAGATGGCAAGAGAAATCAGGGCTTCTACCTGACATTACACAGTTAAAGACTGGGTTAGCCAGGCGTGGTGGCGCACACCTGTAATCCCAGCACTCTGGGAGGCTAACGCAGGAGGATCCAAAGTTTCTGCCAGCTTGCGCATTTTAATGACTTAACAAGACCCCTGTCTCAAAATTTAAAAAAAATTTTAAAGGACCAGGGATGTTACTCAGTTCAGGGGCCTCCAATTCACTACCCGGTCCTAAAAAAGAAAAAGAAATGCCATATTACTCAGTAGATCTCCATTGTTTCAACAGCCTGTGATTTTTAATTGCTTGACGATTGCATTGTTGTAATTGTGCAGCTTTAACTGTGTGGTTGCCTTTTAATAGACTAGGAAGTCATAGTCGTTCAAAAACAAGTATCATGTCATCGCATTGCATGCAGATGTCCTGCACCTAATATCCTGTACATTTTTATGTTACCTGGAAAATGAGCTGTGGACTTTGCGATTCATAATGATGATGATAATAAAAAGTGAACTACTATATATAATGTGAAAAAAAAAAAAGAAATCAGGCCTGAGTTTCTGCTCTTTAAAGATTTCATACAGTAGAGCAGGGAGAAATTGTTTAATCCAGCATTTCACAAGGGTGACCATTTTAGAAAATGAATTTACTTGCTGCCTGAAAATTAAAGAAGTGTAATTTTGTATGAAGGGCTACTCCTATATATGAAATAAGCCTAACAAATGATTTAGCAATGAGATTTCTGTCCCCAGCCTACACTCCTGCTAACACACAGACTGCTTCTTTGTAATCTGGGGTGATATAATCAACTAATCAACTACTTCACCTAACACACACACACACACACTCACACACACACACACACACACACACACACACACACACCAATGTATGATTTTGCTGCAAACTGACCATACCCAATCTAGGAAAGAGGACCTCAGCAACTTCTAAAAAATATGCATTCTTTTCCTTTGAAATTCAAGGATAATATGAAAACAACACATTCAAAGTCCCAGATGACAATGACTTATCTTTTATCCTTTCATAACTTTGGCCAAAAACCCACAGTGCAATCTTGAAAACCATAAATTAGGTTGAAGCATTTAAACTGCTGGCATTCTACCATTTCTGAACTGTGAAACTATTTCATATGAGTCAAATCATTAATGTACCTTTTTAGGATTCTATTTATAAAATGATGATAATAATTCATATAGAAAAGGGTTGTTTTACAGATTAAATGGACAACAGATATTAGAACCTAACCTAAAAGCAGCAGTCTCTGATTTTCAGATGTATATTTATCACAGATTGACTGGAATGAGAGTTGCTACTGCTCAAAGTATGTTTACTTAATTTCCAACGTGTCTTGGTAGACTTTGGGAGAGGAAACAGGACTTCAGAATCTGTTTTATTCTCTTTGTCACAGAGCTCTTCATTATTCTCTGATCTTTCATTTTTATAGCTTCTTATTCTTAGGAGTATAATATCCACTCTTCTCTTTCTGAGCATATTATTGTTGCTCTTTTTTTCCTGTACAGTTTTCTTCTGTTTCTAGCATTGTCTCTGTCACCTTTTGGTTCCTTTTTATCTGTTTCTTTTGTTCCAAAGGCTTTGGTTGCCTAGTGACATTGGCCGGTGTTCCCATTTATGAGCTGGAAAGCTGTTTGGCAGCCCAGGAACAGAGCTTGTTGATTGGTGAGTTTCATTATGGATGGAAAAGTGAACTGGTTTCCTTATAAAGAAATTCTCTGAGAACCAAGACCTGTCATGTAAAGGTACAAGATCCCAATAATGAATATAACTGTACTGCATACCTAAAATGTACCAATAAACTAAAAAAAAAAAAAAAAAAAAGAATAAATTTGGAGTAGCTGTTGAAAAAAAAAATTCTCCAGTCTCTTGCCTTAGGGTTATTCCCCTGGTAGCTAGTTATGTAGGTCACACCGGCAGCCATATGGGTCTCACAATGCAATATGAAAGTTTCATTTAATATTATAAAATAAAGTATTTTGCCCTATCCTGAATGTTGCCCAGTGTCTAATTTCTCTTCCCCCAAAGAAAAGTATCTAGAATTTTATTGTGGTAGAGGAAGGGCACTTAGCCTGAATTGCCTAGTTTGGGGAAGAAGTTTTGGTGGTGGTGCTGGTGATGGTGGTGGTGCTGATGGAATTATGGTAGAAGTGGTGATGGTGCTGATATCTCCTGTTCTTTCAACCATTTTTATTGCTCTCAGCACTTCTTCTCACCCTACTACAGGCTATTTGGTATCTCCAAGTCCTCATATGACCTAGGGTTCTCAGGTTTCTCACTTGTGGGCTTAGTTTAAAGCTTTCCCCAGCTGGCTTTGGAAGTTACTATTCACTAATCTGCTTTCCTTTTGCAAAAAGATAGTTGACATAGCTAAGTTCATATTCTCTTCCTCATTGTAAACTTGTTCCTTTTTAAAAATAAATTACACTGTCATTTTGCAGAGCTTGAGGAAGAAGCAGATATAAATAAATGGGATTGCTTTTCATTTAAAATGGAAGTTCTCCACTGCTCTTTTAACACATAGATTTTGCTTCTTTACATCTTATTTTCTGATTTTTCTATATTTATTTTGTTTTCAGTACACAGAACAGATTCCGTTTCCAAGTACAATGAACACTCCAAAATGATGTCCGATGTCTCAGTCTGATTCTGTTCCAGTCAAGCTCAGATACCATGGCTCTGAATTTCTTGGGGTGGGGTAAAAGGAACCTGAGCCATTTCAATTTTCTCATCTTTTAGAGTATATGTTTTTAAAATAAAGATATGCTAAAATAAAATTTGGGAAAATTGAACTATATGTTTAAACATTTGCATTTACCAATTTCAACAGAAAAAACAACAAAGCAAATCATTATGCACTGTTCACAAGATAACTATAGGATTAATTAAAATATTAATTCATAACATACATAGAGTGATAAAGAATGAGATGCAAGCTTAAAATAGTGTGACAAGTATCAATTTTGTATTTTATTTAGAGACAGTATCAGCCTTCTGAATCTTAGAAGATACACAGATATGGTGGCCGTGGAATCTGCTTTTATCTATTCCTCCTCTTCCTGCCTCAATGAGGCACACATACCCCTACAACAAGGTGGGACTTAGAATGTCCTCTGTGAAGCTTTTCCACCACGGGCAGCACCAGTAGAGTTACAGAATGGTAAACAAGTAATTGCCCTTGTGCAATGGATCAAGTGGGCAGAAAGTATCTTTTCCACAATCGGGTCTTGTATTACAACCACTGTCTCTAGAATTAAGTGCCCACTTGCCCCTGACCAGGGGACAGAAAAGAAGTTAACTGACCAGCATGGTTTGCCTCCCTCTAAGATAACTAGGTTATCAGGTCTCAACCCCAGAAGGATTTGGAACCAAGATGGACTCTTCTCTTTTCAAACTACCTTAATATTTGAAGAAATACAAAGCAGGAAAAAAATTATCCATGCACCAGTTTACTCCTAAACATTCAAGCAAATAATCTATTTTTTATTCTGCCATGTTTTCTTACTACCTATTTGAATCATCCATCATAGGCAGATGTGCATGCACACATGTATATTATGAAAATGAATAACACACTAGTTCTGAAGTCAGATGGAGCTGCACATGTATATTGTGAAAATGAATAGCACACTAGTTCTGAAGTTAGATAGAGCTGGATTCAAAAATCTGTCTCCCTCCCCTCCCTGCTTTAACAAGTGCATGACCTTGGACATGTGACAACTGCTTTGAGTTCATTTTCATCTGAATAAATGGGAAACAACAATAATAATGTGAAATAATACATGGGAAACACCAATCAAAATGTTTGCTACATAGAAGATGCTTATAAACAATAGCCAAAATTATTATTATTGGTTCCTTAATTTAACATTTATTATGTGCCAGGTGATAAGACTGTATGCCTGTCTTCCAAAAAATGCATCATCTAGGACCAGGGAGGGACATGTAATCAGACAATGAGTATGCTATGTACTAAGGGCACCATTCTACATATGCTAGTAATAATACGGTCTGAACTGGGCTGGACCAGGAAGACAGAAAAACCAGACTGGTCAAGCTTCGGTTAAGTTAAATCATGGGGATTTGGGAGAATTCGATGAAAGTGAATTTGATATGCTGCCCTTGAACATCAAATTACAAGCACTTTTGATGTGGCCACATAATCTTTCCATCATTGTTAATGACTATATAATATTACACTGCTTTGAGTTTCTGTATTTTCCTTACCTTGCCCCTGTCATTGGATTGTTAGTCACCCACCTGGAGCTATTCTAGATATCACTACAATGAATATGTACATGAGTTTTTCTGCTGGGAGATTATTTCTGTGGGATAAATTCTGGGTCAAAGGCAATGAGCATATTTAAACAATTCTTACAACTCACTACCAAGTTCTTGTCAAAGGTTTCCTACAGGGATATTATGTTTTTAGCAGAAAAGATGAAATGAATTCTTGAATATTGCTTTTATTTCTTTTTCTTTGATGTGCTGTTTAGTGGGGGAAAGTTCATGGATATTAGGCAGAAAATTTTGTGGGTATGAGGATCATCTCACTGCAGGGAACAGTGAGAGGTCTGTTTCATTGCAGCACAGGACAACCAGGAGCTCTACATGCTGACACTAACTGCATATCTTAATTGTGTT